GTTGCCAGGATCCTTCCTTGGGAACTGTACTGTGTATACATAAATTTTTGTTTTGTGAGGCTCCGTGTTTAATCTTGTGTGTTCTTTTTAGCTTTTCTGTGTTGTTTGGTGTGGTTTGGTAGATTATTTTGGAGAGCTGGGGACACTATACCTTTTTATCCCCATAGGCATTGTGGTAAACGCCTGTTCAGCTTATGTTTTGTAGGAATGCTCTACTTGCAGATAGAGGGAAAACTGTATTAGCAGTACTGGGCCTTGGTACCTGCAGAAATCAAATACTTTCATATTCCAACGCTACAGTTATCATCATTTTTAAATTATGGGAGTTAATGGACCAACAGGTGGTTCTCATTTACTGTATTAAAGAGAGGATGTAACATCACAGATAATTATATTTAAAATATTTTGGTAGCTACTTCAATACAGTTCTGGGCCCTGGTGTCATAGCAGGTTGCACATTGGGCTGCTAACTGAAAGGTTTATCAGTTGTAAACCACCAGCAGCCCCTTGGGAGTAAGATGAGGCTTTCCACTCTTGGAAAAAGTTCGAGTCTCAGAAACCCACAGAGACAGTTCTACTTTGTCCTATAGGGCTACTGTGAGTTGGACAAACTCATGACTTACCAGTTGTTTCAATAGTTGGTTTCTTTTGTAATATTCCCATGTTCTTTGCATTTAAAAAGTTGTAAGAGACTATCAGGAGTCTGGCAGAAAGTTGATTTCTGTCCCAAAGGAAGAAAACCACTGAGGTCTTGTTTTCATTCTAAACTAAAGGGAGGGCAGGGTGAATGGGTTAGCAGAAATGAAAATCTTATGGCATTGTGGCGAGCTGGAGAAGAGTGCGAGCCAGAGAGGACAGGGAAGGTGTAGAAAATTAATACAGGCAATGAGGAGCTGATAGCACGGGCTCAAGTAGAAGGCACATGTTTTGAGAATGATGAGGACAACAAATGTACAAATGTGCTTGACACAATGGATGGATGGGCTGTGATAGGCATTGTACGAGCCCCCAATAAAATTATTTTAAAAAAATTAATACAGGCACGTGTCTACACGTACCATCCATCACTTTCCAGGTGTGTTTTTACCTGTGCCAACACTGGATTATATAACCATTTTCCCCTAGAAATTAAAGTTCTTTTTAATGTTCAGAGTATGACTTGTAAAAAGAATATTTGAGTAATGCTAGCAATTATCTTAAAACACTGGAAAAGTTGGGGTTATAAAAGTAAACGAAACCTGTTGTTAGGTGTTGTCAGTTGATTCCAATAGAGGCCCTATGTACAACCGAGGAAACTGCCAGGTCCTGCACCATCCTCACGGTTTCTGTGCCTGAGCCGCCCCTCGTTGCAGCCCGTGTCCCTGAAGGTCTCTCTGTTTGGCTGCCCTCCCACTTACCAAGTATGATGTCCTTTTCCAGGGACTCGGCTCTACTGACAGCATGTCCAAAGTACATGAAACAAGGCTGGCCATCCTTCTAGAAAACATTCTGGCTGTGTTCTAAGACAGATTTGTTGGTTTGTTTGGCAGTCTATGGTAATTTCAGTATTCTTTGCCAGCATCATAATTCAGATGCATCAATTCTTCATCCTCTTTATTTGACCTTATAGGATCCTTTAAAGCACAGAACCGGTGTTGTACTTGGAGTTGCTATTAGCTGGAACTGACTTGACAGTACCTGATAGCAATCTTCAAGGTCGCAGAGTCTAAATCTTAATCCTTCACAGCTCAGCGCTTTAGCTGTTTCTCCAAAAGGACTCCTTAAATAAATTGTAGGACTTGAATCATAAATGTGTGGAAATACCTTTCTTTTAAAAAAATCATTTTATTGGAGGCTTGTACAA